CGATGTGGAGGACCAGAGTCTAATGCAAGCACTGGACCAAGTCTACAAGGAGGCACGGCTCGAACTTATTCCCGGCCAGGTGTGTGTGTGTGTGTGTGTGTGTGTATGTGTGTGTGTGTGTGTGTGTGTGAAGACATCCAAGCACTAGCCAATTATACACCTGATTTTCATGAACTCTGACCAGTTTTTGGGAAAGACTTTTTTTCCTCCCAAAAAGTATTCACTTGAGACAGTTGAATAGTTTGTTTGAAGGATGATGGAAAACCCTAGAGGAATTACTGACTGTTTTTCCATCTCTGTGTAGCTGAAGAAGGCATTGGAGCTGAATGAACAGCTGAGACAACGCATGGGTGTAGTCATCGTTGGGCCAAGTGGAGCGGGGAAGTCTACGCTCTGGAGGATGCTCAGGGCCGCTCTCAGCAAGACAGGCAAAGTGGTGAGTAACAGGGAAACCGCCTACACTGTTGTTCATTCACTGATACATGCTGTACATTTAAAATGACAATTGCAAAAATGCTATAAATGTACATTTTGTAAGACTAACACAATATCCATTATTATTTTTCATATAAACGATTATTTAAAGCATTTATTCAAGAGTTTATAGGTCAGTATTGTCCCTATCTTGTGTGCCATCTTTAATGCTTTTATGCTGTGTTTTTGTAGGTGAAGCAGTACACAATGAATCCTAAAGCTATGCCCAGACAACAGCTGCTGGGTCATATAGACATGGACACCAGAGAATGGGCTGATGGCGTCCTCACACACAGTGCCAGGAGTGTTGTCAGAGAACCACAGGGTAAGACATCGCTCCATTAGCGCTAATAGGTTACTTATCATCTGTTTTGCTAACCCAGACTTTAGATAACTGCATAAAGTCTATATTAAATGATAAAGTCAGGGTGAACCAGTAAACTCTACAAGGACTGCATGAGGTAAACATTTAGGTGTGTATGTTTCTTGTACTCTTCACTGTCTGTACTGAGATTCATGTACTGTATGTATCTAGAGTTAGAGATATGTATATGTGCTTTTGTGTTTTCTAGGGGTGAGCTCATGGATTGTGTGCGACGGCGACATCGACCCAGAGTGGATTGAGAGTCTCAACTCTGTGCTTGATGATAATCGGCTGCTGACCATGCCTAGTGGAGAACGCATCCAGTTTGGACCCAATGTTAACTTCCTGTTTGAGACTCACGACCTTAGCTGCGCCTCACCAGCCACCATCTCCCGCATGGGAATGATCTTTCTCAGGTTGGTTGGACTGTGCATCTACAAATTCCAGGTTTGCCATCTAGCTCTTCTCCATGTTGTTTTTTATATTGACTTTCCTCCACTCCAGTGATGAGGACATTGATGTAGGGGCCTTGGTGAAGTCGTGGTTGAAGGGACAGCCAGAGGATTGTCGCAGTAATCTAGAAAGCTGGCTGGGAGACTACTTCCAACGGGCCCTGGACTGGGTCCTCAAACAGGTAACATTTACTCTGTACTGCATCTTAACACTGACTCAAACAAACAATGCTGACACAGTTTTGCTGTGTAGCAATGTTTTATGTGTATATCAAAAGTGGACATTTTGGTGGCCCTAAAAGATAGGCCTCCATGTATACTGACCATTGATCATTATAAGGACATTGTGTGTTCTGAGTGAAATGAAATCACAAAAATCAGCAGACTTTAGTAATCATAAACTAAACTAAATGTTTTACCCTATTTAGTTTTTTTTAGTTGAATTTGAAAGCAACTTGTGTATGTCCTTCTCTACTCTCCTTTAGAATGACTTTGTGGTGGAGACTAGTCTGGTGGGTACAGTGTTCAATGGCCTGTCACACCTTAATGCTGTGTCCGAGAGAGGTCAGTTTATCGTTGGTCTTCTCAGGGGTTTGGGAGGAAACCTGAACTTCAAAACAAGACAGGAGCTGGCCAAAGAGGTGAGGACCCCTGTGTGTTTTGTATGGGCTGAATGTAACTATAACAACACTTTACTTTGAGTATTGAAATGTTATCATGTCTCAAACTTAAAATCTTGTTTCTGAGCTCTAACTTACATACAACTAAAGTGATGAGTCATTATTCAAATAGAAATACAGGATATGCACCTGGTGGAATTTTTCTCTTATGCCACTGCTCAAAAAAGCTTAATTGTTGCCCTTGTTTCTTTGAACTTCTATAGTTGCTGAGCTGGGCCAGGGAAAGCCCACCAGACACCAAAAGACCTTTGGATACCTACTATGACTCAGAGAGCGGACATCTAGCTGCTTATACATTTCATCGTCCCGACGGTCTCTCGCTGGAACAGCTCTCTCATTCACACACACTGCCTGTTATTGAGACCCCAGACATGCAGAGGGGTCTGCACTGCTTCTCCCCGTGGCTCACCACTCAGCACAGGCAGCCCTTTATGGTGGTGGGGCCGGAGGGCTGTGGAAAGGGGTAACTACACTCAGAGCACACACATTTACATACATGCATCATAAACTGAGCAGGCATTTGCACACATACTGGCAATATTATGTATATTGAGACACATGGTAAAAACACAACATTGCATTTAATCCCACAATGTGGATCAAAACAGAAAAGACTATTTGAAAATGTGATTGCTGAATAACTCATCTAACATTCACACATTAACAACACATCCATGGTTGTTGCATATTATTTATAAAGTGGAAGTCCATGTTAACAGTTTAAATAGACACTCTTCTTTGCAAACCTCATGTTGGTCTGTTTTAAAAAGGATTCGTAAGATCACAGTGTGCATTGTATAGAAAGTATAAATAGTACAAGCAAACAATCAACACTGAAATCAAATCTTTTTTTTAAGGCTTGACCTTTTGTGTAAAAGGCACTCACATGTCAGGATAAGACTTGTGTGTGTGTGTGTGTGTGTGTGTGTGTGTGTGTGTGTGTGTGTGTGTGTGTGTGTGTGTGTGTGTGTGTGTGTGTGTGTGTGTGTGTGTGTGTGTGTGTGTGTGTGTGTGTGCGCGTG